AGAACTGAGCGGGTGAGCTCTGGCCACTACCCCAGGCTCCCGCCTGAATCACCAGGCCGCTCCCTCAGAGTTCAGGACAGGCACTAGGGTGGGGTGAGGGAGAGCTGTGGAAAGAGAGGGCAGGCCCACATTACCTTTAGGGAAAGCTGTCCCTGGGCCAAAGTCCACACTGTCACGCCCTTCTGGCTGGCCCAGGGCCATCGCTTCTACGCCAGGAGGCACAGAGGCAGAGTGGCCACCCCCAAGGTTGGCAGTTTCCTGATGAAGCAGCCTCCCTCCATGCTGCCCCTCACTCCTCCAGGGGACTTTCCTCTCCACCCAGATGAGGTACTCCCTCCCTCCCAGAGACTGGCAGAGCCCTGCTCTGTCCCAGCTGCTTGGGGGTGGGGGGCACAGCTATAATTAGGGCCCCTCCAGCAGCCATTGGACATGCCAGGGTGGGGTGGCAGAGCACGGCTGCTGGGCCTATTTTGAGAGTTAGCTGATCCCTGTACTAGTGCAGTGGGAGAGAATCACCTGACCGTACAGCACAGAGCACAGGGGGCTGGGCCTGATCCCTTTCTTTCCACCCAAGAAGAGGCTCCCAGCCTCCTGGCAAAGGGAAAGGTGGGTGAGGAAACGTTCTAACTGAAATCACAACCCCTCAAACCAGCCAAGGCCCTTCTCCTCAGCCCCTGGGTATATCTGGTATCCCAAACCCCCTGTGGACCTTCACTAGGGGTCAGGCAGGATAGTCAGTAGGTTAGCTGCATCCCTGAACCTCCTCCCTGCCTAAGAAACCCCTCCTTCCCTCTGCAACCCATTCCTCAACATCACATCACTTATAAAAGGGCTGCCTCCTCCGACAAGGGTTCCTGGGATGTGCCGGTTCCAGCCACTCACAACCTTGGGCAACTACTCACACCTCCGCACCTCAGTTTTCTCATCAGTGAAAAGGAGCACAAGGCTTCACTTGTGTGATGTGTGTATGCATGATCTGTATGCTTTTTGCTATGCAACACTGTGGCTACTGCAGGTTATACAGATAATATTTTCATGCACAAATAAGTCACTGTATCAGTCACTTCGAACAGGACCTCAGAGGGCTCCCCCAGCTAAGACGACAAAGAAGAAAGCATTGATCATGGGCTACGTATTGTGCCAAGGACTTTACTTGCCATGTCCCAATTGCTCTCAAACAACCCTACAGGGTAGGTCCTATTACCATGCCCATTTTGGGTTAAACGACCAGCCCAAGGCTGCACCTACAGTAAGGATAGGACGATGAATATACTCAGAGCCTGTGTTCTGAACCTTTCACTGTAGCATCTCTCCCAATGCCCTGGTCTTCACCATGAAGGTGCCAAGAGGTCTCCCCTGGGGCATCTGGATGGGCAGTGCTAAGATGACATCCTCCACAAGGCTCCAGGCAGGGTGCCAGCCCTTTGGGATTCTGAGCAGAAATCTCAGACAGGGAGCAAAATAAGACCCAGAGAGTAGGCAGGCTAAGGGAGGACAGGCCTGGCTACTTCTATACCTCTGATACTCTATGGGAAAAGGATCTAAGGCCACTTTTGTGGGGTTTGCCTGGCCTGGAGGACTGCAGAGCACCCCTTCCTTGACAGCGAAGTAACTAAGGCCAGAGAATGCCAAGGGGATGGTGAAACTCACAAGCCACTTAATGCAGCCATCCTCAGCCTCCAAGGAGGCTCTCCTGCCCTGACAGTTGTTCCATGAAAGGACTTTCTTCACACATTCATTGCTCTAAGAATTACACAGTGTGACGACAGGAGAAACGGCCTGCCTCCCCAGCTGTCCCTCTATACAGCGACCCCCACCTCCCGGCTATTCCACAGACTCTATCTACCCATTTCAGCTTCCCTGGCCTCCACAAGGACCCTTCTCAGTCTCTCTGATACACACTCCAAACACTGAAGTAGCAGTCCTGCTCTGCAAATAAAGACCCAGACGCAGTCGGTATGGGGAAGTGAACCTGACAGCAAACAAGGGCTGCTGACCCTCTGGAGTGAGGACAGGGCACAGCACAGAAGAAGCAGGGCAGGCAAACACCTGCAACCATCTGAGGCATCCCCGCCTCCGTTTCCTTCCTGCTTTGCTTGGCTGACGCCTACCTTCCTGGCAGCAAATTATTGTCGATAAATGCTGATTAATACTATCTTGGGCTTATGGTTTCATTTTCATAACTTATCTATCCATGTCAGTGCCGCAACTGCCAACAAGTTAAACAAATGTCCCCGTTTTAAATTTTGAGAAACTGAGGCACAGAGAAGCCAAAACAAAGCTAAAATACAGCCTGCTTTCTGTGGCTTCAAGCCCATTACTCTTTCCTATAGACAACCTTCCCTTCTCCATCTGTAAGTCCCCTCCCTCTCTCTATCCTGTGGAAACTTGGGGAAGAAAAGCCAGTGAAACCTTTCAAGGGAGACAAGATCAAAATAATGAATTATCATTGAAACTACCAACTAGCGTTGTATATGACCCTTCATCGTTCACCAAGAGCCCTCAAGGATGCTTCTCTGTGGAGTCTCATAACAGCTTGAGGGGTAAAAGTTATTCTTGGGCCCGTTTAAGAGTTAGGGGAGTGGAGACTCAAGAGGTCAAAAGACCTGTTTGGTTAGGGTTAGTGACCACCCCTGGTTCATTCCAGAGCCTGGAGGGAGGGTCTTACCGCTGGTCCCAGATGATGAGGTGAAAGAGGTACTTGGAGAAGTGAGCCCTCCGGGTCTGCAGGGGGCTGCACAGCTCCTTGCCCCCATGGCTGAGGGAGCAGGAGAGGTAGAAGTCTTCATAGCTACCAAAGAAAGGGAGCAGGTCAGGACACTCAGCGCCCAAACCCCACCTCAGTCACCCCACCTATGCCAAATCCCATTTCCCTCGGTAAAACTCCTCTGGGTCTCTGGAGGCTGTAATGGGTCACGGGACAGGACAGCCAAAGTGGATTTGCAGAAGTGTGCTCCGGGAGAAGCAACTCAATCGGGATCTCTCTGCCCAGTGTCGGGCTCCAAGTTGGGCCACGATTTTTCTTCCTTCTTCATGGGAACCAGCCATGCAGCCTCCTCCTTCCAGTCAGCTCCAGCCCAGCACGGTGGGGGGTGCGTGTGTGCACATATGCAGGTGAGAAGGGTGGGAGATGAAACCGACATCTGCCCACTTGAATGCCAGCACATGGGGGTCCCTGTGGCTCATGACAGGTGCCTGACAGAAGAGGTCAGAGAAGGCCCCGGTTTCCCAGGCTGCCTCCTTTGTTCTCTGTCAATCGCTTAGAGGAATACATTAAGTGAGGAACAAAGAGAGAAGGGGAGGGAGGGACAGGAGGGGTCCAGAAGGGGGTCGTTGAGCCGAATGCCTGTTTCCCCAGGCCTTGGATGGGGAGGATCCTGCAGAGGAGCTGAGGATTACCAAAGGAAGGAGCCTCTCCACACCCACCACTGCAGTCCAGACAAAGGGTCATGTCCCACCTCCCCGCCCCCTCCCATTGTGCATCTGCAGGGGAGTGCAGTCATTGGCCATGGGGCATGCACTGGAGCTGGGAAGCAGCCATCTGTCACCAAGTGTCCATCAGCTGGCCTTGGATGGGAGGGGGCAGGGATGCCGATGCTGCCAGTTCTGAACCAGCACTAAGAGGGAATAGCAGATCCGCCAGTGCTGCCTCTTTTCTATTTCCTAAGAGACCTTTGCTCTCCTCTAGCATGTCCCAGCCCATGTCCCCCTCAGGCACGTGTACTCCCTCTCGGCCACCACGCACCACGATGCCACAGATTCTAAACGCTGGGCAGCGGGAGAACCACCTGAAAATCAAACTCTGCTCCTCCCTCCAGGCCATCAGCCCTTGGCTCACCTGGCAGCCCAGGTGATAGGGATGCGGTGGGTGGCATAGACAGTGAAGGCCAGAGGCCCGGAGAAATGGCAGGCCTCTTGGACCAGGTCGTGCTTGTGGCTCCCGTGGACTGCCGTCTGGAAGTCGGCATTGAACGTGCTGCAGTACAGCTCCACCAGGTCCAGGATGGCAGCTGTCAGGGCTTCCATGACCTTCTCTGTGAAAGGAAGGGGCGGGAGGGAAGGTGTGAGGCCTCTGCAAGCCCCAGCTTGTTGCCACTGTGCAGGCTAGGACGGAAGACCCTAGGAAATAGTCCCCAAATGCCAGATGGTATTCTAATAGCCATGACAAGTTCACCCATCTGTGGTGAAACGAGAAAAAAGCAGGGGCATGTCATAAGCTTCTCATGAAATGACAGATATTAAATGTAAACACTGCCCTTATTTTTACGTATTGCAACTTATTTAATGTTAAATGTCCTTTTAGGAAATAGTGGGAATCAGAATTGTCAGTTACTTTTATTTTATTTTATTTATTTATTTTTAATATATCTTTATTGATTTCAGAGAGAGGCGGGGAGAGGGAGAGAGAGAGATAGAAACATCAATGATGAGAGAGTCATTGATCGGCTGCAGCCTGCAACCCGGGCATGTGCCCTGATTGGGAATCGAACCCTGATTGCCTGGATCCTAGGTCGACGCTTAACCACTGAGCCACGCCTGGCCGGGTTGTCAGTTACTTTTAAAAAGTCATTGCTTGGCACCTGGCCGGCATGGCTCAGTGGCTGAGCATTGACCTAGGATCCAGGAGATGGCAGTTCGATTCCCCGTCGGGGCACATGCCCAGGTTGCGGGCTCCATCCCCAGTGGGGGGGGCGTGCAGGAGGCAGCCAATCAATGACTCTCTCATTATTGATGTTTCTGTCTCTCTCTCTCTCTCTCTTCCTCTCTCTGAAATCAATAAATATATATATATATGTCATTGCTTGGCAAAATAAAAGATGACATTTCTATGGTGGTCCCCCAAATAATACTTTTGGGGACATTTTATTGGTCCATAAAACCCAAAAGACTGTGAATCACTGACCACAAATCCCAGAATACGGGCTTTGTAGGGCAAAGGTCTGCTTGAAAGACCCAAGGGGGGTACTAGTGAAACATTTTTTATCTCTCCTCTCCAGGCCCATCCTAACTTGGAATCGCAGGGCTTATGAGACACCTGGAGAATGACCACAACCTCCCCAAGGGAGAGTCTTCCCATCTGGAACCCAGGCTAACTTCGCATTACCACCCCCACCTCATACCTCTCCTGCCTCACCACTATCTCCCAGGGACACTGCAGGAGTAACTAGTAAAAGTGATGAGAAAACATTTTATGGAGAGAAAGGTGATCTCCAGCTGGAGGAACACACACACACACACACACACACACACACACACACGCAGGCAGACCTGGGCCCCAGCAGTGAGGGGGCCGGGGAGAAAAAGGAATCGGTCAGAGTCTGCAGTTTTGCCTGCCCCTCCTGGACAAAGACAGAGAGCAGTTCCCTTACCTCGGTTTTCCCTCACAGCCAGGACGGCGGGGTCCTATTGGGGAAAAGCAGAAGGAGGGGTGCTTCAGGGCCTCAGCCTTTTCCACCACAGCTGGAGGAAGGGCTTTCCACAGCTGCGCTCATCAGGACCACACTGGACTGAAGTTTGAGGAGCAGAGTCCCCAGGTAGGACGAAGTAATGGCTTGTACCAGATCCGTGTAATGGACAGAGTGAGCCAGGCCCGGGATACAGTCATCATGTCCACCCAGATGAGACACCCTAACCCTCAGGCCACTGCACTACAGACACAACGCCTGGCATACTGGCCCTGGCTGCACAGCACACAGTGCCCCTGTGGAGTCCCGAAGCCCCTGATGTACACACGAACTGCCAGGCAAGGCCTCAGTGACTGGGAGTGAGCCTGTCGGGGCTCCAGCAATCACTCCCGGGGGCAGGCCCTAGCCCACCCTCACCCTCCGAAAGAGGGTTCACACGTGCTATCCATTTCCCAAGAACTCTCCTGGCTAAACGATTCAAACATAAAAGATGGAGGTGGGAGAAGAGCCTTTTAGCAGCTGGACAGCTAATTACCCAGTTGCCTGCGAATATCCCTCTCCTCCTTCCCCATGCTAGTGCCCTGGGCCCCATTACCTTCTGGATTTTAGGCTGCACGCGGGAGGGGCAGGGGGGCAGCTGGTTGAGAGCACTGGTGATCTCGGGGGTCTCCACGGCAGCCAGGGCATTGCAGATGGCCTTGACGGACTGGACTACCCTGTCAGCCTTCACTGGGAAGTCCCCCTGTGAGAGGAGGCACAGTGAGGCTGGCAGGCTAGCGCCCTTGGCCACCAGCACCCAGTGTTGGAGGAACGGGCTGGGAGGAGTGTGGGCTCATGACCCTCAGGAGTAACTAGTGGAATCCATACTTTATCTTCAAACACCCAACATGGGCAAATAATCACTCCTACTATATTAAATGAGCCATGTCCACGTTCCCCAGCTTTCTCAGCCCTCCTCCCTGAGCCTCCTCTTACTCCCAGCTACCCCTCTGGGTACAATATAAACACACCCAGGGTCTCCCTCAGAGCCATCCACAGGGAATAGCCAAGGAGACCACACTGAGGCACCACTTACCTGTGTAGCCTATTTCTCATCCCACCACCTAGAATTTCTAGACAAATCCCTATCTGATTTTTGTTAGCTTCACGACATTTGGGAGAAATGTTTATTATCATGGTTTTGAGGCTTAAAAACCCCTGTGAATCCACATAAAGAGAGCCCTGGCCGTTCCCTGCCTCTAGGACCCTCCACTTCCTCATGGTTTCCTCAGAACTTCTCCAATCAGAGGTTCCTGGGCGCTCATGACTCACAGGACACGCATTAATGCACATTCACATGTAGCAGCTGGGTGATGGTTCCACATCCCTTAGCTTTGGAGACACCCTACTCCAGAGATAGGGATCAGGACACGGTTCCTGACCTACTTCTATAAGGAGCAGAACTCCTCTCCACACACTTGCCAGCCACCCAACAGCCAGCAGTCTTGGTTTGCCCATGAGCCAAGGGGAATGTCTGCTCCGGATCCCTTCTAGGGCTGGCTGATTCCAGGAGGACTGGGGGAAAGCTTGGGAGAGCTTTGGGCAGCCAGGCCACCCCAGGATCTGTACTCACATCAGCCAGCAGGAAGGCATCCACCTCATTGTGATAAGTGTCAAACAGAAGACTCAGGGCCTGCCTAGGAAGTTGGGGGCAGGGAAAAGTAGAAATCAGGATAGACACCCCCCTCCCTGGCCATGACCTGGGCAACCCATTCTCTTCCTCCTTTTCCACAGCTCAGGGATCTGACTCTGGCTTAAAGGAGTTCCCATCCCTTCAATATGTCCCGTGAAGACTGAAGGACCGTGAGTCCTTTGTACTTCGCCACCTCTCACCTGGAGCATGGTGGCAAAGTGCTAGAGGGATGAAATGCAACACACCTGGAGTGGGGATCAGCCCATAAAACTCTTGGGTCCCACCCCCGACACCTGCAAGAAGCCCTGGTCCTGGGAGACAGGCAAGCAAGAGTATCTGCTGGGTTTCCCCGAGCTCCTGCTTGACCCACACCCGAGATGGCACCCACTCTCACCTGCTGATGGTCTGCTTGACTGGCCTCTCTTGCAGATGGATGAGGTAGTTCAAAGTGGAGGGGCTCTGGTCATCATTTACCTGAGTAACAAGTACCATATTCAGGGAGGGGTGGGGCCTTCACCTCAACCCGGTGCTCCTACCCCACTCCCCCTAAATGTGTTCCATATCACCCCGTGCTCCCCCACCTGCCCCACACCAACCGTGCGGGCCAGGTCGCTGCGTACGGATTTCTGCTCCATCAGCTGTAGCCGAATGTCAATGTCAAACTTGCGGCAGTACTGAATGTACTCATGGCTGCCCAGAGCGTGCTTACTGGTGGGACAGAGGGACAAGATCATTATTAGCATCCTGGGGACTCAGTGGGAAGGGCGATATAGACCTGAGCCTTGGGGAGAGAGAAACAGAACAGGGCGGTGACCTAGGGGTAGTACTTCTGTTGTGCCCCCTACCTTGGCTCCTAGAAATGTCCTGGTAGAGCTTGGCGAAGTACAGGTTTGTCTAAAGAAAAACCACCTAATACACTGATCCCTTAGTCTGCACAAACACTGATTTTCCCAGGCATTTATTACCTGTATTGTCATTGGTGGTTCACTCCAGGGTGGGAACTTCTGGTGGGGTGGGGAACAAAGGGACTTCTCAGAGCATAGTGTTTAAACCCCATTCTCTTGGCTTCAGTATACAGGACATGTTGGAAGTTAGCCAATGCTCAGGCTTAGGCGTGGAGATCAGTGGGTGACACTGTCCCCTTACTGAGGTTCTAGGCCTCCCACACCCTACTGTTACCAGCTGGGGTGCTGAGGTCAACCAAGCAAACCCAGTAAGATTCCAGGTCTGCTATCCCAATGCCCATCAAAGGTCTGCTTCTGCCCTGGCTGGGTAGCTCAGTTGGTTAGTGTCCTGATATGCCCAGGTTGTAAGTTCGATCCCCCGTCTGGGCACATATAAGAAGCAACCAATGAATGCATAAATAAGTGGAACAGCAAATCAGTGTTTCTCTCTCTCTCTCTTTCTCATATCAATAAATTTAAAAAAAATTTTAGTCTGCTCCCCTTCCCCCAAGGCTCCTGCCTGATTATAAATAACTACATAAATCTCTACAGACATCTTGACAGCACCTGCCTGCATGCCATTCCCACTGTTCAAGTGACAACTGTGTGACCCCACCCCCACTCCAGTCTCAGAGAAGGTGGCCTAGCCAAGTCCCTCCATGATCCAGCTTCTTCCTCCTTCCCAGATCACACCACAGTCAAAAAGGAAACCCCAAAGAGAGGCCAAGTGAGTCCCACCTGCAGGCCAGCACGCAGGCCTGGGCTGGCTCCCAGCAGCTGGGAACAGAAGCCGGAAAGGGACTTCCTTCCTCAGCAGAGCTAGGCGTCTAGGCCGGCAATGGAGAGAGGAAAGGGGTGAAGGGAAGGGGTGTGTGCAGAGCCCACAGAGGTGCCCAGGCCTGAGGCCAGTGGGGTGCAGTTAGGATTTAAAGAGGTTCTCCACATCCTGAGGGGCCAACCCTCTGATCTAGGCCCCATCCTGCTAAGTCTGAACTGCAGCCAAAATCTAGGGCTGGAGAGACTGGGCCCTGGGGTAGGTCTGGTGGGAGTGCCCAGGGAAGGAAGAGTGTGGTGTGATGGGGGAGGAAGCAGGAAACCCAACCCTCCCCAGGGACTGTCTCAGGGTTCTTATCTGACAGCAGCCTGCATCCTGGACCCGACACTCGCCCTCACATCAGCCCCCTCCTGCTAGGCACGGTGGGAAACCACAGGGCTTCCTTGGGAGTTCGCAGCTTTCTGGAAGCCCAAGAGGGAACTTCCCACCCCACTCAAGGCAGCTGTCTTGTGCTCAGGGGTCTGACCTTCTGTTGGTGAATGGAAGAGAAGAGACTGGGTGGTGGAGGGGGGCTCCTGGGCCAGAGTCATGGACACAGGTCCCCTGGGGACTTGCTCGCCCTTCTCTATGGAAGGCCTTCTTCCCATGTATGCATTGTTAGAGTGGGGGAAGCATGACCCCAGGGCCACCGATCCCATTCCACCTCGCCCTGGGCACTCCACCCGGGTCCTGGCAGGAAGTTAGAACTTGACAGTTTATCTACCACCTCTGGACTTGGGGGCTCAAGCACTAGGGTACCTACAAGGTAATTAAGACAGAATCTATCTGATCTGATCTGATCCCCACAAATTCCTCTCTTCAGACCAGTCCTTCCCTACTAAGGTTTACTGAGAGGCCAGAAGGGGCCAACAACATCCCTTAGGTTAAAGAAAACAGCTGAGAACTGCTCTAGCCATAGATCCCTTGCATCTACACCTGAATATGAGAGAAAGAGCAAGTGGTGGCACTTACAGGTTCTCCTAAGAACCATGACACAGGCCTCTCCTTTCCCCACTCCCAAGGCCTGCTTTCATGGGCAATAGGCAACTGGAAGCTTGGGAGGAGAGCAAATCCCTCCACTTCCTTATCTGCTGTTGTCTGGCTGATTCCAGGCCTGCCACCCAGCTATATCACCTGAGGGGTGCCATCCCTGCACTCCGGCCAGAATCCAGCGCCCCAGGGCCGTGGAAAGGGGATTGCTGCTGCTGGGCCACATCGGCCTGTCCAGGAGGCTGTTTGCTGCACAGGGCACGGATGGAGAGGGGCTGGCAGAGAGCCTCTGTGAGGAGGCTAACCAGCAGCACATGCCAGTGGGGAAGGGCTTACTGGCAGGGGAAGGGGGAAGAGAGCAACTGTGATTTCTTCCCTAGGTTCCACTGGGCACTGCTGCCAGTCTTCCTTCTACCCCTCGATATAAGGGCACCTCACATAATCTAGGGCAGGAGGAAAGCCCCACACAGTCCCCCATCACCCCTCACACATCTCTCCACTTCGTCTTTGCCTAATTCCCAGCTCCAAGCTCTTTCCACAGATTTGGCTCAGGAAGCTGGCCAACCCTGCTGGAAGACGGAGCTCCTGGGAAAGTGCGACGTGGCTGAGAGTGTGCCTGGAAAGCAGGAGTCCTGCCTGTGCAACTACAGGGAAGCTGCCAGCCCCAGGCCTGGAGCCCAGCACCTCCCCCAGGAAGCCCCTGACAATCCTAACACCCAGAAGGCAGGTGCTGCATGCTACCCTGCTCTTCCCCACTAGGTCACTCACTTCTGCAGGAACTCCTCCAGCCCACACGGCTTCAGCACAAAGTCAGCCACATCCACGCCCCTCAGTTCATCGTGGGTGTAGCATAGGGTCTGGTAGATGAGTAAGTCCACAGTTGAGGAACCTGCAAGGGGTGGGGCAGGGCAGCAATGATGGGGGTGTCAGGGCAGGCGGGGCTCAGCATCTACCCTGATCCCCCATTCCCGGTGTGATCCAACCACATAAAGCAGTTTGGGGTTGGAGGAAGTGACCATGGACCTAAAAAGCTGGCCTCAGAGCCAGCCTCCCATAGAAGCTCTGGGCCACACCATGGGGTGGGAACTGAGGCCAAAGGATCCTACCCCGCCTCCAGGGAGGCTCTCTCTCCTCCCCCATAACTTACAGTTGCAGGTAAAAGTGAGTGGCTCCTGTAGGCTGTCACACAACACCGTCACCTTCAGGTTCACCGCATCCCCAAGGTGCTCCGGGCTCGGGGTGACAGCGCTCCAGACATAGCCGGTGAGGAAGTAGTCTTGGATATTGGAGCCAGATCGAAGGCTGTGCAGGAAGAGAGGGAGAAGGACCCTCGCTCTGCCTTCGGAAGAGAGCAGTTGAGAAGAGGCCTGCTGGGACCCTCCCGCCCTGAGGCCCAAGGGCCCCTGTCCCCAGTCAGCCCGGCCCTCCAGGTCTGTGGCCCAAGAGGAAGGTGGTAGGGAAGCAGCTCTGGAAACCATGATCTTGACACATTTGCTACAGTTGCCAGATGTTTCCCAAGCAGAGCTGAACAGTAGGGAGTGTCCTAAGAGGACATGCTAAGAGCCAGGGAAAGGTTTTCTGGGTCCACTTCCTTTCCCTTTTAGCTCCAGATAGCCCTCTTATCTCCATCTGGGGGCACTTGCTCCTAAAGCCTGAAGCGATTGGGGTAATTTCACTGTTAAATCAAGGTTTTATAAATTTTGTCAAATCTGTGAAACCTCTAAGGTGCCTCAATTTCAAAAAGCCAGCAAACACCTTTTATAGGAAGCATCCCATAGCTCTGAATTGAGATTTATTACACGTGGTTCTTCTTTCTTCTGAGAAAAGGGTGGCCCTCCGACCCAGCCCCACAACCCACCACAACCCCCCTTCTTTAACTCTTACATATCCAGCATGTGGCAAAATGCAGCAACTTCCTCGTCTCTCTCCTCTGAGACCTCAAACAACTCATGGCCATTGACGAAGGCGTGGGGCCGGGAGACCACCTTTAAGAGAAGAGCAGCTGGCTCAGGGCCTTCTCCTCGTGGCGGCCCCTCCCCACAGCTCCCAGATCTGAGCTATTACACTCCAGGCGTGAAGACTTTAGAGGAATTCAACATTCACTGAAAGGGGCGCAAGAAAATGTGGGAAATGCTGGAAAATATTTATCTGCCATCTTAGGAGACCCAGAGCCAAGTGAGAAACAGAACTTGAAGCTTTGACTAAGTCCGGAAGCCTGGGTAGGATGAACAAGAGTATGGCCAAGCCTTCCCAAGAGGGCAGCTTCGATGCGGCAGGTCAGGCCACGCACAGCATTGTGGAGCCTCTGGGCTGGCTTTCTGGGGGTGCTCCCAGAGGCTGGCGGGGAGAGGAGCTGTTTCTCCTGTCCCACTATGGAGGCCACGGACATGGGTTGCCCTTATAGTCCCCAGGGAAGCTCCTCCTGGCTCTCGAGTCTTCTGGTTTTGAACAGCTACAATGTCAGGGAACCTGCCTGAGCCCCGCATCCTGTCCAACCGTATGTGTGGTGGTGGGAATTTGCTCAGACAAGACCTCACATTGATTCCTGTAGTCACAGAGCTGCTCTCACTCACCCGTGAGGAGTGCAAAAGAGCCCCGAGCCCTCCAGGAGGAAGTAGGGGAGCTGGGGCATGACAGGTTTCTGCCTGACCTGACAGGCCTGCCCACAGCCACCACGTGAGGCCGCCCCAAGGGAATGAAGCTGCAGCTGGGATGGCGTGGCTGCCGTCGGTGCCAACACCTGCTTCCGGGGAGCCCAAAGCCCGGGTGTGCGCGAATAGCCTTGCCTCACCTCTCACCCTCCCTCCAGCTATTCTCATGTCCTCCCCACCCTTGGGCAGATGGCAGCACTGACCTCCTCATTTGAATATATAGACTTTCCTCTAAGTGACCCTCCCCTGCTAGCCTTGCTCCCCTCGGTGAGCAGGGAGGGGGTGCAGCGTGGGGGCAGCTGGCATGTGAGGCCCTGGCTCTGCCAAGTTCATGCCTGTGTCCCAGTCAAAACAATAGTACCACTGTCAGCAATTAACTCACAAAGGCAAGAGTGAGAAAGTGACAGAGCAACGGAACGAGACAGAAACAGAAACAGAGAGACAGAGAAATGAAGAGGCCGAGAGAGGAGGGGAAGGTGAGGGATAGAGAACAGAGTAGCTACTGAGGCCATTTTCATGCCCTTTCAGTGCCACTCCCTGGCTCCATAAGAAAACAAAGCCACTTACGTGCACCCTGCTGGCAGGCCCTGGAGGCATCACCCGGTGCTGGCTGGGGGAGTCTGCCAGGCAGAGGCTGGCAGCGGGGGTACCCAGCTGGCATTTGGAGCCAACCATTTCCAGAGCTGGCCCCACAGGCCTGGGATAAGGAGTGTCCCTCTGGCTGGAAGCCCGGCGGAGGCGGGGTGGTGGTATAGGCCGAGGGCCCGAGGGGTCCCCCCGCCCGGTAGGATGGGTCCCCGCACCGAGTTGATGAGGTGAAGACCAAGGCCTCATTTTCCCACTAGGAATGGGCAAAAGCTGCCCTGGCTTCTCCAAGGAGACTGGACCCAGCTCCTTCTCAGAGCTCTGAAGACAAGCAGGGGATGGGGGAAGGGTGAGGGAGTAGAGGGAGCAGGAGAGGAAGCGACAGAGGTGCCCACCTACCAGGGTGCCTGGACCAGGCAAGCAGGCCCAATTCTGTGAGAGGAACTCCGAGCTGGGAACAGGACTCTCCCTGTCCCTATAAATAGCAGAAGCAGCCCCACCTCTCAGAGCAGGGCCTTTAAAAAGCCCTGAGCTCTAGAGCTGTGACTTATCCCAGGAGCTGATGCTACTTCAGGGGCTCTCTTAGTAGAAGCACAGGAAGGAAGGACCACATGGCTTTTCGAGAGTTTTGAAGGATCACAATTGCTAGGACCCAAGGTAGGAAAGCCCCAGTGTCCCTTGGACAATGTATAAGGAAGAAACAGGGATGGATGAGGTGGAAGCCTGTTCCTACAGAAGTCATCAGCCACGAGGGTGCCTCTTGATCCCTTCTAGGGCCAGGGCTTCCAGGGCCCAAGGGGGAACACAAAGCAGTCTTCAAGTCCCACCCATGGGGACGCTGCTGGCATTTCCTTAAACCAGCTCAAGATCAAAGCTGCCCTGGAGCCCACTCTGTGCTTTACTGTAAATACTTTGCTATTTTATATTATGTACTGATAAAAGTAAAATTATTATTGTTATCCCACATCTTCTAAATATTTTCAATGTGAAAAGAGATGGATGGTGGTGATGATTGCAGACCAATGTGGATCTGCTTCACGCCACTGTACTGCATACTTACAATTGTTAAGACAGTAAATTTGTTATGTATATTTTACAATAATAAAAGAGACAGAGAGAGAAAGACAGGGAGGTAGACACAGAAAAACAGAGAGAGATAAACAGAGAGAGAGAAAGCAAGAGAGGAAAAGAGACAGAGAAAGACAGAAGGGAAGAGAGACACAGAGAGAGCAGTCAGAGAGAGACAGAGGAAAGAGGGAGACAGGAGAGGGACAGAGGGAGAAAGACAGAGACAGACAGAGAGACAGTGGGAGAGACACAGAGAGAGACACACACAGGGAAGGAGACACAGAGAAGAGACAGAGAGAGCAAGAACAAGCCAGCTTTGGGATGAGAGACCAGGGCTGTGTCCCTTGGACCATCAGGCAGGGCTGCTGAGGGGTCTGGACCAGGATCTGGTATTCAGTGAGCACGGAACATTGGTTAATATGAGGATTTAGCCTCATCACCATGCAGCATTTTTGGCTGAGCAAAAAGCAGAAGCAACTCACTCCAGCACACCAGGCCACTGGGACACAGAGTCAACAGTGAGTCCCCATAACCTCAGTTACGTCCTCACATCATAAAGCAGGCACACACTAGGAACTGGGCTTCTGAAATGCCTGCTTCCAGAAGATACACAAGATACACAAAACTCAGCCTTGGAAGGGAGTGTCTCTGGGTGTCCCTTTTCCTCTCCCCCACCAGGACCCAGAAGCAGAGGGGAAGAGGGGACTAAAGGGATGAGTAGGTAGCCGATTTGGAACAGCAAAGAAGAAAGATTATTCTGTTTCTGAACGACATGAGAAAAGGGAGACAGAGGAAGCACAAGGTCCTCACCGAAGCAGCAGAAATCCGGTGGTTCTTGCCGGGTATCGCAGTTTTTCGGCTGGCACAGCGAGAGACATAGGTGCGGGGGGGCACCTGAGGGGGCATGGTCTTGCTCCGGGCCACAGGTTTTCCAGGAATGTCCTTGCTGAAGTCCAGGGGCGCCCGGCCCTCCTTCCAGCCCCTGGTGGCATCCCGCACCATCTCTGCATCGTAGGTTGACTTCAAGTTGAGCCGTGTAATCGCATCATTGATACCGTCGTAGTCCACAGACCCCAATAGGTGCCCTGTACCCCCACCTCTTGGCTTCTCTTCCTCTAGGATCTGCTGCCCTAGCAATTTGCCTGGAGGCTGTTCGACCAAAGGAAAAGTGTTGATGTCATTGGGCTGGGAGATCTTGGAGGAAGACGGGGGCCCCTTCCTGGGAGGTAGGGGAGGGGTGTCCCAGATAGAGACTCGAGGAGGCAGAGGAGGTGGGGACAGTTTCTTAGAAGAGTCATCTATGTCCCCTGGCCTTGGGGAAAAAGAGAGCCCCCCATCTGAACTATCAAATATGTAAAGATAGTCTCCAGCCAGGGAGCCTTTGGGCCAGGGATCTGGGCCAGGCTGGGAGCCTTGGGAGGTAGAGTGGTTGGGCAGCCCTTCCTGTGGGGAGAGTGAGTTGTAATTGAGGGTAGGATCAGAGCCAGAAAGACCGCGTAAGAGCTTGAGGTCCTTCTGCCTCCCCGCTGGCTTGCTGTAGAAGTCCAGGACAGGCTCATCCAGGCCGATGAGGGAGGGGTCCGTGTTCCGCTTGGTCCTGTTTTCCTCCTTGTCATGCCGGAGCCGGGACAGAGCATCATACTCCATCTGCAGGGCTTCAGCCATGGCCAGCTCTTTGCGGCTGATGCCCACCGACTCCAGGGACTCCCAGTGTTTCCCATTGCCCTGAGTCGACGACATGGTGAGGATGGGGACAGAGGAGACAAGGAAGTCTCCTACTTTCTGCCAGTGTCAGGTCTGCAGGGTTGTGGCATGGTGTCTGGGCACCTGCAGGTGAGGGGTAAAAATATCAATCATTCCATCACAAAAAGAGATGTATTAATAATCTGAATCACATCACCTGGGCTACTGCCTGTTTCTTAATTGCCTATAACAGATGGAAAGAAACAGAAAGATGGAGGAAAAAAAAGATACTAAGACAACTTAATCTATGTATGACAGCCATTCACCCTTAAGTTAATCTATACATGTCTCCACCTCTGGTCCCTAACTCCCATCCTCACCTCTCTCACATGTACCCAGAGGAAAGAAGAAGGGATGAGCCAAGAAGACAGAAACAAGGGCTCTTCAGTCAGTTTAGAGGAGACAGCTCTCAGATGTTCCTGGTGAGGAATGTGAAATGGTATAACCACTTTAGAACACAGGCAGCTTCTTGAAATGGTAAACATCTGCCTACCATATGACTCAACTATTCCACTCATAGTTACTTACCTAGGAAAATGAAAGCACACGACCACAAAAGATTTATACATGAATATTCACAAGCAGCTTTATGTGTAATATCTAAAAACCGGAAACAACCCAAATCCATTAACCCAACAGGTAAATGGGTTAAAAAAATGTGATGTGTCTGCAGAATTGACTATTACTCAGCAACAAAAAGGAATGAATTATCGACACATGCAATATCGGGGATGAATCTCATAATGACGACACTGAGTAAAACAAGCCAGACAAAAGAGCATGAGTATATAGGATTCCATTTATATAAAATTCTGGAAAATGAAACTAATCTACAGTGACAGAAAGCACATCAGCAGTTATCTGGGAAGGGGTGGAGGGGGGGATTACAAGGGAGCAGAAGAGAACTGTTGGGGATGATGAAAATTACCATTATCTAGACTGTGGTAATGGTTTCACATATGTCAAGACTTCTCAAATTGTATACTTTCAGTCTGTACAGTTTATTGTATGTCAATTATACCTCAATAAAGCTATAAATGAAAAGTACAAAAGAGCGCTATGAGAAAACTTATAATTACTCAGATTGCACAAGGATCCTCCCAGAATACACCGATGCGAGCACTTAAACAAAGCTTTCCAAAGGGTGAGAGCCAGGTGCCTGATGGAATACAGTTGTGCCTAAATATCAATTTCTCCTAGGCCTGCAGGAAACCAGGCAAAAAGGCAGGACCCCCAGGCCAGCTGCCTCTAGCTGCGAGCAGCCCCCTCCATTCACCCATGTTTGGCATCCTTTCCTTTAGAAGCCATGACATGAAAAAGACACTGAGTAAGTGGTTGTAATGACAAGGTTAGCCTGGCCCAGTGGTTCTCAACCCTGGCTGCACATGAGAAACACTGGGGGAACTTCCTAAAAGGATAGTCCTCATACCCATGTTCTCCCAAGAGACTCTGATTTAATTGGTCTGCGGTAGGGCAGTGGTGTGTTTAAAAATCCCCTAGGAGCCCGGCTGGGCGTGGCTCAGTGGTTGAGCATCGACCTAGGATCCAGGAGATCGAGGTTTGATTCCTGGTCAGGGCACATGCCCAGGTTGTGGGCTCGATCACCAGTCGGGGGTGTGCAGAAGGCAGCCGATCAATGACTCTCTCATCATTGATGTTTCTATCTCTCTCTCATTCTTCCTTCCTCTTTCTGAAATCAATAAAGACATATTAAAAACAAAAAACAAAAAAAAACCTCCCCAGGAGATTCTAGTCTGTAGCTGAAGCTGAGAACCATAGGCCTAAATCCTCTACTTTATTGACAGGTTCTTGGAAACTGTGACTTTAAACGAAACAACATATAATGAAACCAATTTCACCATTGGCTACTTGATACAAACAAAAGTTAAGTTCCTAGGGCATAGTTCTGGTCACAAAAACATCACCAAACTTCAAAATAAAAATGCAAAACATTTCTAATATTAAACACTGAAATAAATGTGAGCTATCCATACATTTAAGAAAGATGAATGAAAACAAATGAGACAATTATTTTCCAACCCTGATTATTCTAGTTCAGGGTCATGGGTGACTGGAGCCTCTCCCAGCAGTTTAGGGCAAAAGGTGGACCCCACCCCAGACAGGATGCCTTTCCATCACAGGGCCACTGACACCCACACGATGACACTCACTCAGACTGGAACAATGTAGACAGGCTAGTTCATCTAACGGTCACATCTTTGGGAGGTGGGAGGAAACTGGAATACCCAAAACCGCTTCAGACATGGGGAGAACATGCAAACTCCACAGACAGTAGCCTGGCCAGAAATCAATTTTATTTTTTCATGAATATTATAACAAATCAATGTTATTCAAGCACCTGCTGTATGGCCCAGCTGGCATGGCTCAGCGGTTGAGCATCGACCTAGGATCCAGAAGATTGGGGTTCGATTCCCGGTCAGGGCACATGCCCGGGTTGCGGGCTCGATCCCCAGTTGGGGGCCTGCAGGAGGCAGCCGATCAATGACTCATCACTGATGTTTCTCTCTCTCCCTCTTCCTTCCTCTCCCTTCCTCTCTCTGAAATCAATAAAGAAATATTTTTAAAACCCCCCAAACCTGCTATATATGTATTTTAGATGAACTGGGAGGAGGTAAGTGTAAAGTAGTCACATCTGACCCTTAGCTCCAGTAGCTAAGATGTTCACAATTCCATAAGAGTATCAAAAATTGTACATTCTATTGTACTGCTTTATTCAGCAGAAAATAAATATATAAAGCATGTTCTTCCTCTGGATTAGAAAAATGACAACATCAATAGGAAAAAAGGTTCAGATAGATCCTTGAGTGGCAAGTTCCATCAGATCCAAAATCAGTTAGCAAACAAACAAACCAAAAAAAAGCAGGGAGTACCCTTCCAGTTGCCAGATGCAATGCTGCCTAATTCATGAATTGCTTAATAAAGCCAATTAGATTTCAAAGAAAAAAAAGAAGAGAGAGAGAGAAAAGAGAGAGGGAAGGGGGAGACAGAGAGAGAGGGGGAAAGAAAGTTGAGTTAGGACAAGGGTATTCCTTAACCCAAGATACCCCACCCACCCCAGGACGCCATGCACCTGTCAGGCACAGGCACAGAGCCCTGAAGGGCCAGGGCTGGCTCAGCGTGTTTAAGGAAGTAATTTCCCAAAGATGAATTAGCCGAAGCCCAGCCTCAGGCACACAGAGCACTCAGCTGATTTCTCTGCCTGATGAGTTTCTCCACCCTTCAACAGCTTCTTAGATGATATATTTTTAAAATATGTTTTCAGCCCAGCGTGGCTCAGTGGTTGAACGTCAATCTATGAACCAGGAGGTCATGGTTCGATTCCCAGTCAGGGCCCAGTCAGGGCACATGCCCTGGTTGCGGATGGGGGGCGCACGGGAGGCAGCCAATCAGTGACTCTCTCTCATCATTGATGTTCCTATTTCTTTCTCCCTTCCTCTCTCTGAAGTCCATAAAAACACATTTAAATAAATAAAGATAATATCCTTTAAAAAATTTAAAAAATATGTTTTCATTGGCCCTGGCTGGTGTGGCTCAGTGGTTAGAGCGTTAGCCCACATCAAGGGTTGGGGGTTTGATTCCCAGTCAAGGGGACGTACCTGGGTTGCAGGTTCAATCCCCGGCCCCAGTTGGGGCAAGTGCGGGGGGCAACCAATCAATGTGTCTCTCTCACATCAACGTTTCTCTCAATCTCTTTTTCTCTCTCTCTCCCTCCTTTCCACTCTCTAAAAATCAATGAAAACATATTTTAAATTTGTTGTTATTGTTAATCCTTACTCTAGGATATTATTTTCCATTGATTTTTGGAGAGAGAGGAAGAGAGAGGGAGAACGAGGTGAGAGGGAAACATTGACCGGCCGCCTCCCGCATGCATCCCAACCCATCGAGCCTGAAACCCAGGCATGTGCCCCGACTGGGAATCAAATCAGCAACCCTTCAGTGCACAGGAGGACCCCCAAACAGCCTCAACTGAGCTATACCGGCCAGGGCCTTATAGATTATTTTTTATCTACAGGGGGTAAGAGGCAGTTTTTCTATTTGAAATTCAAAGGAATTAGATGACCAGATGAAGACACCCAGAACTTAGCTGCCCAGAGCTGGAAAACCGGTTCCAGGAAAAGGGGGTCCTAGTACTTTTAGATAAGAGACACTAGAGAAATGTCAAAGTTGGACTGAGTTTACACCATTCAATCCAGACTGTGGATTTTCAGCTCTGAGCTGGGACAAGCAGAACACTAAGTGTTGCTGGCCAGTCGGTTAGCGGGTCCTCCAGATATGTCAACGTTGTGGGTTCGATCTCCGGTCAGGGCACATACATGAATCAACCAATGAATGCATACATAAGTGGCACAACAAATCGATGTTTGTTTCTCTCTCTCTCTAAACAACAACAAAATAGTAAGAGTTGCCTTAGCCAGGCACCACTGCGAAGAAAACTGAGGCCACTGGAAAGAATCTCAGCGCCCTGCCCCTCCCCCCACTGGATTATCCACACCAGCATCCAGCCTCCCTCTCTCCCCTTGGTCTCAGGGGAAGCTGAGGTGCAACCCCTCGTGCTCTTGTCCCCCCTCCTCTGAGTCTCCATCAGGATGATGCTCCACAAATTCCTCCTCCCTCTCCTGTCTCTTCGTCTCTTCTCCCTAACTGGGTCTCTCTCTTTAGCACATAAACATGTCCAAGTGCCTTCTAACTTTAAAAACGAAGGAAAAAGGAAAAAAAGCCTCCAGCTAATAACCTCTTTGTTCTTCCTTCCCTTCGCATCCAGTTTCCCAATTCCCCCTTTTCACTTACTTTTTTTTTTTTTTTTAATCTTCACCCAAGGATATTTTTTCCATTGATTTTCAGGGAGAGTAGAAGGAAGAGAGAGGCAGAGAGAGAAACATCAATGTGAGAGACACACATTGATTGGTTGCCCCTAGCACATGCCCCAACCACGGCCAGGGATCAAACCTGCAACCCAGAAACACGCCCTTGACCAGGAACCAAACCCTGGACCCTGTGGTGCTCAGGCTCTAACCACTGAGCAACACCAGCCAGGGCTCATTTATTCTTCAACTCTCTGTCAGCTGGCTTCTGCCCTCAATATTCCTGTAAAAGTGCCCCAGCAACAACGCCCAGGCCACCCAATTCCGTAGGTACTTCTATCTGCTTGGGCATTGCAGCTGCATTTGACTCTAAGACCATTGCCTTCTTCCTTGAACCCCCCACCCCTGGCTTCCACGACAGCTGTTTGTTGTTGTTGTTCCCTGCATCCTAGTTGTCCTCCTATTCACACCACTCACGTGCTGACGACTCTAGATGTGTAGCTCCCTGGGTTTACGTGCCCACCTATACCTCAAACCCAAACATCCCAAACTGAATTATCACCTTCTTTCCACCTCCTCCCTCTGGTTCCCCACTATGGTGAACGGCACCCCCAGTCGCCCACACTGAAACCCTACAGCTGTCCTGGATTTCTCCTTCCTTTCCCCCCATAATCAATCACCAAGGTCTACCACCTTTTCTTTTCAGCACTCCCCAACTCTAGTCCTGCCTCCTATCCTAACTGCTGCTGTCCTAATTAAACCCTATCTTCTCTTGCCTGGGCTATTACAATAGCCTCTAAGAGTTCTCCCTGCCACTAGTCTTTCCCTCTTTAAGGCTTTCTCCACACCCTTTCTAGAGTGTAAATCTGGTCATCGCAGTCCCAGGTCAAACCCCCTCAAAAGCCTCTACTTAACTCCTTCACAAGGTCATTATCAGGGCCAGTATCTCCCTCTCATCTCCAGCCATTCATTACCAAGTATCTGATACCTCCGTGATTTTGTTTCTGCTCCTGGGTATGTCCTCAATGCTCTTTGCCTAACTCCAACTCACTCTTCTCAGACTTTGCTCAGATATCGTGGTCTTCAGAAAGCCTTCTCTGAACCCACAGATTGAACTGAGGGCCCCTTCTTCACACTACCAATAACAAGCTATACAGATCTCAAACACAGTCTTAAAATATTTTCAAAATTAAAGGTGTATGGATCTGTCATCCCCATTAAGTTCAAGTTCCAAATTCACTTCATTGCCACTGAGAAAAATGTACTTGAACTGGGATATAAGGGCAGAGTATTCTGGTAGTAAGAATTTTTAGAAATGG